CCCTTCAGAAGAGGCCAGTTGTCTGCCTAGTACATGGACTGCATGAGTTCGGTGAGAACTGTAAAACACATCTCCCTATTTTATGGGAATTAGGAAACGGAGAAGTGTTCTGTAGTCTTAACACCCTTCCTGTCCTAGGTTGGCAACACTGTTCCCATTGATGCAGTACAGTGGGTTGAGTGTTGTCACTGTAGGACAGGAAGGGCGTTACTGGCAGGATCACCAAGTACAAATTAAAAGACATATGCCTGAAAAAAAGAAAACTAATGCAGCCACCACAAATCATCTTCTTTCCCGGTCTCTGTGGCCGGTTAATGAGCACTCGGAACCCGGCAGTGCCGAAACGGTCATCGCTTTCATGTTGATCTATCAGGGAGGAAATTGGCGAACAGAGGACCACAGAAGGGGCCGCACGGCCCGGGATACATTGGGATTGGGGGGGGCGTCACTTGCAGGTAGCTTAGAACTGATCGGGGGGCTTTATAGCCAATCAAATCGCCAAAGCCAACATTTGTCTGAGGGAGTGTAAACACATTGCCAGCTGCTATGGCCGCCAGGAGTGTATTTACAGCTCCCTGCTGCCGACCTAGGACTTATGTCCATGGCAGTGAAAGAGTTAAAGTGAACCTGTCCCCAGACGGTGCATATTAAAGTACATGCGTGTTCTGTACAAGCTTTCCTCATTCACCTCTATAGATATAGACATTGTGGAGCAATTCATCTTCAAAGTTCATTACAGAATCATTGACATCTTGGCTCTCTCCCTGTTACTTTGCATTGCACCAGAATCCTAGCGGTCTGCCGATTGACCAGGTACATGAGAATGGTGATAGCCGCGGCCCCCTGCATTGTCCTCTCCCCCAATGTACTGTCTGCACCCCCCATGGGGAGGTCCACCCCTATATCCTGTCCCACTGAGACCCGTACAAGCATGGCGGAGAGTTGGGCAGGATGGAACTCGGTAGTACAAATGTCAGGATGCGAGGGGAGATCTCAGACGGCAATAAAAGATACTGGATAGAAATGAACGGCGTCCATCGTTCTGATTTACCAATCGATCATATGGGTCTATGCGAGCCCTGAGGAAGCTATGGTGTCGGAGGTTACCTCGGCGGGTGACATCAGCCCCTCCTCCCCACGTGGCAGTTTTCAGGTCTGGCAAGTGACCACTCAGGCCGGAGAACTCTGCGAGGGAAGAAGTGAATTGCCGGAAGGTCCCACCTGTGACAGCAATGTGGAGCCTCTGGTGAAGCAGGGAGGAGGCAAGGGAGCGCGGATGGATAAACATACTGTGCAGGTGGGGGGATGCTGGCTATGAGGGGGCCCCAGTGACAGTGTCGCAACCCAGCCAAACTTTTTTTTAAGTTCCCAATAGAGCGGGGAAGAGTTTTTGCCACCATTGGGAACGTTAAAGTGATATTAAAGCCAATTTTTTATTTTTATTTCTCCTTTGCTTGAGGATGTTGCGTTTTTTCTTTAAAAGTTACTTCTTTCCTCGTTCTCTAGTGTGTCCCCGCCATGCTCTTCCCCCCTGCACGGGTGCCACCATTGTTCTAATGGAGGCACTCGTGCCCGCGGCGGCTATGTGCGTCTATAGACAAACACAGCCCTGTGGCAGGCCACACCCCTTCCCTCTTTGATTGATGGCAGAAGGAGCCTATGGCTCTCCTCTGCTATCAGTATCCTCCCCCCGAAAACCTGAAAGTTCGGGGGATCGCTTCGGATCGGCGGCGGGGACGAGTGCAGCTGACAGGTAAGTGTGTGGGGGACTGGGGTAGAAAAATGCATTAAGGTAAAAAATTCCCAGACATTAATACTACTTTAACCCTTGCAATGTGGGG